TGTATGTATGTATGTATGTATGTATGTATGTATGTATGTATGTATGTATGTATGTGTGTGTTGGGTGGGGTGTGGGTGGGTGGGTGCGTGCGTGCGTGCGTGCGTGCGTGCATGCGTGCATGCATGTATGTGGGTATGTGCGCTTAAGTTTGCATACATGCATATGTTTCTGTATGTATGTGTGTTTGTGCATTTGTGCGTGAGAGAGAAACTGATATAATTTCGACCGTACAGCTAGTCATTAATATCATTTTCAGTGTTCCTGGCGAAGCCCTAAGCGGTGAAATGTTGAACGTATGGAAAAAAATGTGAAATTCTACAGTCTCCATCATTTTTGCCTGTTTACAGTCTACCGTGATGGTGATTAGGAGATAAGGATGATGATGATGATGATGATGATGATGATGATGATGATGATGATGATGATGATGATGATGATGATGATGATGATGATGATAATGATGATGATGATGATGTCACGATTCTATCAGCCATGCGAATGTTCCAAGATTGAATCCCAGTGGTTGTTTATTTTTTAACTAAGACACTGCCGTGTTCAAAAGTCCGAGGACCAAATGCTTCTCCTTGGAAATTTTCTACTTCGTATACATTGGGGTGATAAGCTAATGAATAGCAACAACAGTTTTAAAACAACAGCAGCAGCAGCAGCAACAACAACAATAGTAGCAGCAACAACAACAACAGTAGCAGCAACAACAGAAACAGCAGCAACAACAACGACATCTTGGAAAAGGTTGACAGACTGACAGAGAAACGCCTTAGAAAGCAAAACAAAAAACCCCCCACCTTGATGCGCAAAACCAAAGCCGTTTTGTGATTAACACACGCGAAGGAGAACATTTGATTTTACTATGTTGAATAAATTATGTTACGTTTGATTTGAATTATCTAAATAGATATTTGGTCTGGGAAATGTGTAAAATACCCTACTTTTTCTTCTTCTTCCTCTGGTAGGTGTCTCAAGTCGGAGTGTTCAGTTGTGGACCAGGGCCAATGACTGCCTCCGTGCAAAAAGCGTGCACCTACATGAACGGTCTAATTGGACCTACTTTCACCCATCATTACGAGAATTTTTAGTCTGTCGACGGCAATTTCAACTTTATAGAGTGTTTATTGTACAGGCTAAGGGTGGATGGCCTTCCGCATGATGTGACAGCCAGCAAAAGGTGTCCAAAAGTTCCACATGTTTTTGTTTGTTTCTTATTGATGCATCGTTTTGTAGGGGTATCTCCTCATCCATATTGTACTACATTTTTTTCTCCTTAAGTGTCTGTTTAAGTTTCCCCAAAATTGATATTGAATGTAAATGTTGTAAGCCCCCCATCTACACAATTTTGGTAATGTAGGAGGCGGGCTGCTTCGACCTTGCCTTTCAGGGCCATCCCAGTCTGAGGGGGTGGGGAATCAGTAATAATAATAA